TTGCTTCTTTACATCTCTTTTTTTAAAAAGATTTTTATTGGGGGATGGGAATAGTGCTGGGGAATTGAGGGAAGGGTAGCAGACAAGTTGCTGTTGTTTTGTTCTTCAGTCTAGTTGTGGAGGACGTTGCTTCACTGGCCCAAGTTGGCACCATTATTGTGCTCTTCCCGGGCGAGGCAGATCAGTCGCCGGCTTCTAAACGGCCGCTCACTGCAGCTGCTGGCTGCTCACGCTGGCTGCTGGCTACACACGGTAGCCCATGGCAACCCACTGCCACAGGGGCTGCAGCCTACGCTGTCTCGGCAGCCCAGCTCCAGGTTGAGCTGTTGTTCAGCATCTTAGCTGTAGAGGGCAGTGTCACTGGCCCTCATATGTGGGATCCGAACCGGGGCCCTCTGGCATCCCAAGCCAGCTCTTAACCAACGTGCCACTCGGCCAGCCCCTTTTCCATCTCTTGATTCCCTTCTACTAGAACTCTTTTTTTAAAAAAAGATTTTATTAGGGAATTGGGAAGGGGAACAGCGTTGGGGAATTGGGGAAGGGGAACAGCCAAGTTGGCCTTCAGTCTTAGTTGTGGAAGGAGTAGCTAGCTCAGCTCCAAGTCCAGATGCCATCTGACCTCCTGTTGGCATCTCACGGCCACTCAGCTCAAGGTGCTGTGTTTAATTGTAGTTGTTGGTGGGCGTAGCCCACCATCCCATGCCGGAGTCCAACCGGCAACCTTGTTGTTAGGACCACATGCTCTCACTAGCTGAGCCATCCTGCCACCTGTTGACAGTCAGCGGCAGCTCAGCACGGTCACAGCTCACTGGCCCATGTGGGAATTGAACCAGCGTCCCTGTTGCTCAGAGCTCATGCTCTTAACCAACTGAGCCACTCGGCTGGCCTTCCTGGAACTCTTATTGGGTATTTGTTGGGACCTTTCAACTTACCTTCTGTTTTTCTTAATGGATATATCATATCTTTACCTTCCAATGATGTGTTCTATGTAAATTCCTTAGCCCTAGTTTCCAATTCACTAAGTGTCTCTTTGGCCATGTGTAGTCTAGAATTTGCCCAGTTATTGAGGGTTTTACTTAATTACTTTATTTTTTCATTTCTAAGATTTGCAATTGGTTCTTTTTTCTTTTTTTAAAGATTTTATAGAGGAATTGGGGGAGGGGAACAGCATTGGGGAATTGGGGAAGGAGAACAGACAAGTTGCTGTCCTTTTGTTCTTCAGCCTAGTTGTGGAGGACATCACTTCACTGGCCCATGTTGGTATTATCATTGCACTCTTCTCAGGTGAGGCAGTCACTTGCTGGCCATTAGACAGCTGCCCATGGCGGCTCACGGCAGCTCACGAAAGTGCATGCCAGTTGCCAGCCAGCTCCATTGCAGCCTACGCCCTCGCCGGAGACTCACAGCAGCCCAGCTCCAGGTCTAGCTGTTGTTCACCATCTTAGCTGTAGAGGGCACAGTGTCACTAGCCTGCATGTGGGATCTGAACCGGGGCCCTGCTGCTCAGAGCTGGCATCCGAAGCCAACTCTTAGAATATATATATATTTTTTTAAGCTGAGCCATCCTGCCACCTGTTGGCAGCTCAGCGGCTGCTCAGCTCGGGCCGGGAATCAAACAGCTGTTGCTCAGAGCTCAAACTCTTGAGTGAGCTCTTAACCAACTAAGCCACTTGACCGGCCCCCCAAAGCCAACTCTTAACCAATGTGCCACTCAGTCGGCCTTGGTTCTTTTTTCATATCTATCTATTCTTGTTACATTTATGCTTATTTTAGTTTCATATGTTCTTGATCCTTTTTACAGATGCTGTCTTTGCTTTAGTTTTTTAAGGTTTCTAAACAGGCTTATGTAAAGTCTTTTTTTTTTTTTAAGCTGAGCCATCCCGCCACCTGTTGGCAGCTCAGCGGCTGCTCAGCTCGGGCCGGGAATCAAACCGCTGTTGCTCAGAGCTCAAATTCTTGAGCGAGCTCTTAACCAACTGGGCCACTCGGCCGGCCCCAAGTCTTTTTAAGGTTATGCTATTATTTATTTTGTCTGCAATAAGTTTATTTTCTAACTGTTGATTTTGCTTTAGCATCAGTTTTCATTACGTGTTTTGAAATTGTGCTCTGTAAGCTTATCTTGTGGGGGAGTGTTTCTCTGTTATTTTGTCCCTACAACTATTGGTTTCGCAGTTGCTCACTCAAGTCTCCTCAAGTCCTGAGTGCAAAATCAGGCCTTAAGTTTATTTTCTTATTATTATCTGGAACTTTGATTTACCCCTTTTTTATACTGCACTTAGGGCTTTTATCCCTTGGTGACTTTGTAGGTATTGCAGATCCAGTCCTTGAACCAGCAGGTAGCTTTGCAGTGCCAGCTGCCTCTGGCTTCCCTAGGTTACACCTTTTTCATTTTCTTTTAAAATTTTCTGTCATGGTTACAGGTTTGCAGAAAAGTGGAGGGGATTATTGGTAGGGCCACAGAGCACAACTAGAGAGAACCATCCTGACTGAAAGTCCACTGGTTTTAGCTACTGCGATTTTAATGTTACTATAACGACATTAATTTGTTTCCTCAGTATTGATCAGCAAGTGCCAAAGACCTTTGGATGTTGTGACATGGTGTCAGTTTCTGCCTGTTCTGGGCTCACTGCGAGGCTTGATGCTGCAGGGTCAGCCCCATTCAGTGGCTAAGCTCTGAGAGCCTGGAGTGTACCAGACGCTGCTCTGCCCTGCAACCCAATCACTAGGACCAGCTCCATCCTGGGGCCTTAGCTTTCCCTTCAGACCCCTGCAAGGCAGTCAATGCCGGCCTTGTTCTCTGTCCTTCTATTGGTCTCTGCAGTTCTCTGCTAGAGATAAGCTCTGTTGGCTGCTGCCCAGGTCCTTCCCCTCCACCAGCTTCTCCTCTCCTGAAGCAGGACCTTGCTCACAGGACCTCCTGGCCATGGGTCTTGGGCTTGTAGAGACTCTGAAAACCATTCAGCATTCCCTGGCCAGACGACCCCCACCCATCATTTATACATACTTGTGTTTTTTTTTTAAGATTTTTATTGGGGAATTGGGGGGATGGGAACAGCGTTGGGGAATTGGGGGAAGGGGAACAGACAAGTTGCTGTTGTTTTGTTCTTCAGTCTAGTTGTGGAGGACGTTGC